TAAGAGCAAAATATTAAAGCTGTTAAGAGAAAAAAAATTATAACCTATAAAGGAAAGCCCATCAGAATCACAAGACTTCTCAACTTAAACCAGTAAGTCAAGGAGAGCCTGGAATAAAGTATTACAAGCCCTAAAGAAAAACAACCTCCAACCCAAATTGATGTACCTTATAAAGTTATCTTTCAAAATCCATGGAGAAATAAGATACTTCCATGATAAAGAACCCATGAAGAAACTTGTAACAACCAAATGAGCACTCCAAAAAGTTCTGAAGGACATCACAGAAAAAGACAATTCCATGAATCTCAATAGAAATGAATCTACTAGGCAAGGCAATTAATTAAACAGAGGGGAAAGAACAGGAATCAACAACAGGAACATAATATGACAAGGTAAGTCAAGATATACCAGTTATAACCACGAATGTAAATGGTCTCAATTCACCAAAGAAAAGAAACAGATTGGTAGAATGGATCAAGAAACAAGACCCAAGGGCCTGGTGTGGTGGTACATGCCCATAATCCCAGCACTTGGGAGGCTGAGACAGGAGTGCCTTGGGTTTGAGGCCAGCCTCGACTACATAAGTGAGTTCAAGGCCGACCTGAACTGCATACCAAGACCCTGTCTCAAAAAAAAAAAAAAAAGAAACAAGATCCAACAATATGCTGCATATAAGAAACACATTTAATTAAAAAAGAAATTCATACACAGAAAGTTAAAAGATGGAAACAATATTCCATGATTCAGGAACCTGGAAAAACAACAGGGATAGCTATTTTATTTGCAGAAAAAGTAGATTTCAAGCCAAGACTGATCAGAAGAGACAAAAGTCACTACGTATTTGTAAAGGGATCCAAGAGGAAGAGATAACAATTGTAATATATATGCGCCAAATATAAGCGCACTCAACTATATAAAACAAACATTAATAGACTTCAAAAATCAAATAAGCACTAATAGAACTGTAATGGAGGAGCTCAATACTCTACTGTCACAAACAAATCAACTAGACAAACTCAACAAAGAATCAGAGCTGAACCAAACCTCTGTACAGAGTATTCCAACCCACAACAATATAAGATGGAAAATGCAGAAGAAATGGACAGATTCCTAGCTACATATGAATTACACCAAAGCATTCTTCTCAGGTACATACAGGTCGTTCTCCAAAACAGACCACATACTAGCCCACAGAACATGCTTGAATAAATGCACTGAAATTATTCCATGCATATTACCAGATCATAGTGCAATAAAATTGGAAATCAATAGCAAAAGAAGCCATAAACACTCCTTAAACACATGGAAATTAAATAGCATCTTCTTCAACTACCAATGGGTCAGAGACGACATTAAGGAAGAAATTATTAGATACTTTCTACAATTAAATGATAATGTCTATACAACATATTAGGAACTTATGTGATGCAATGAAAGCAGCCATATGAGGGAAATTTATAGTAGTAGTCAGATGAGAAAAACAGAGCAAGTGGGCTAGGGATATAGCTCAGCAGCACAGCACAGTGTAAGGTCCTGAGTTTGATTCCTAGTACTCACCAAAAAAGGAAGGAAGGAAAAATAATCTCAAATAATTAAACAAGGGTTGTGCCTTAAGCTTCTTAAAAAAAGAGCAAGTTAAACCCAAAGCGCACACAAGGGAGGAAATTTTAAAGATCAGACCAAAACTTACTGCAATTAAGACTAAGAAAACAATAAAATAATCAGTGAGCTGAAGAGTTGGCTCTTTGAAAGATTAAATAAGACAAACCATCAGCCAAACTTTTCAAAAAAAAGGAAAGAAAAGACTCAAATCCATGCAATCAGGAATGAAAAGGATGAAATCACACTGGATTTTGAAGAAATCCAGAAGATCATCAATACCTGCTTTGAGATCTGTACTCTAGTAAGATGAAAAATGCAGAAGAAATGGACAGATTCCTAGCTACATATGAATTACCAAAGCTCATCAAGAAGATATAAGAATTCTTAATAATCTAGTATCAGTCAATAAAATTGAAGAATTAAAAAAACTACCAGAAAGACAAGCCCAGGTCCTGATGGATTCACTACTGAATTCTACAAAATTTTAGAGAAGCTCTAATCCCACTAGTCCTCGAATTCTAATGAAATTGAAAGGGAAGTAACACTCTCAAATTCATTCCTGGGAGTGCCCATTACCAGAGAAGGATTCAATTGAAAGAGAGAACCACAGCATAAACTTGAGACATTTTTAGGCAAATGGATGCACCTTGAGACCATACTTTCAAGTGAAATAAATCAGACACATGTTTAATAACTGCACTGTTTCTCTTGGGTGACAAACTAAAGCATAAATAAGAACCAAAATGAATGATACTGGGCAGTAGGAAGAAAATGTCCAAATGGGAAGGAAAACAAGGGAGTGGGGAGGAGGAAAAGAAGGAAAGGATAAGGTATAAAAAAGAACAGAAAGAAAAATTGGAAACAAAGCTTTTGTTAAGGAGGGCAAGAAGGACTGAAGGGAAGGGTGGAGAATGGGGAAATAAAGAAAAATCAAGCTGTGTCATATACAGGTACAAATTCCCTACAATGAACGTGATCTTTATGTATATCAAAAGTGTACCAAGGATGGGCGTGGTGGCGCACACCTGTAATCCCAGCACGCAGGAGACTAAGCAAGAGGATCACTGCTGAGTTCGAGGCCAGCCTGGGCTACAAAGTGAGTTCAAGACCAGCCTGAACTACACATACACAGTGAGACCCTATCTCAAAAAGACCAAAAAAAAAAAAAAAAGGTGTACCAATAAAATCAATTTTAAAATTTAAATAAAATTACACTGTTTATTTTCACAAAAAAATTTTAAGTACAGTATATAACAAAAAATAGACAGGGAGATGGTAGGTTAATTGATACAGGAAAGTCAGAGATCATTTAAATAAAATAGCACATATGACAGCTGATGATAAATAATAGTAAACACTGTGATTAGCAGGACTAGCGTCCATTACAATTTACAGTATCCAGTCCTTATCACTTAGATTGAGATTAGGACTTGCATATTTTAAGATCATACTGTCACACAAACCACTAACTATTAAGGCCAAAGTTCTTCATTACCATTTGAGTTAGTAATTGAATGATAATTTGTAAGTCAATCTTTTGTTTCAGAGCTTCTAATGTTTAGACTCTCACCTAAGTGATCTACTATGTAATATAAAAAGGCTAGACCACCTCTCAAAAGAAAACTGAGTCAAAACCCAATAATCCCCAGAAAACAAACCTAAAATCAAAGATGTAATATATTAAAAATTGGGGCCTCATCTACAACCTTTTATTATGATGCAAACAGAAAAAAAATCTAACTACAGATTTCATTATCATTTATTTTAAAAAAGAAGAAGTAGCCAGGTATGGTGGTACACACCTGTAATCCCAGCACTCGGGAGGCTGAGGCAGGAGGATCCTTGCAAGTTCAAGGCCAGCCTGGGCTACAAAGTGAGCTCAAGGCCAGCCTGAACTGCATAGTCAAACCCTGTCTCAAAAAGAGAAAAAAAAGGAAGTAATCAAGATCAAAGTAATCTATTACCAAAAAAAAAAAGAATTAAAATCCTAAACTCCCAGCAATATATCCAATATATAAAATGTGTTTGCTTCTACACAAGAGGAGAAAAAAAGGTGTGTTTTGTTTTGTGTTGTGTTGTTTTGCTTTGTACTTTTCTTTGAGACAGGGTCTCACTATGTAGCCACAGCTGGCCGGAAACTCTCTACTCTCCTGCCCCAGTTCCAAGTACTAGGACTACAGGCATGTGCCACTGAGCCTGGCTTCTTCTGTTTACACAACACCCAAATATATTACTACGTACAAAAGGACAAATAGGACCCACTCCTCCAAGAGAAAAAAACCATAAAAGCAAAGGTAAAATGATGAGTGATGGGGAAGGATATTATGCTACACAAATGATACCATTATACATGAATGAACATAAAAATTATCACTTTCTTACCTCATACATTTTTTTTCCTATACACAAGCTATCAGGATAAAGAAGATGAGCCAGGGACATAGCTCATCGGCACAGTGCCTGCCTGAAGAGCACAAGGTCCTGAGTTGATTCCTGGTATCAGATAGATAGATAGATAGATAGACAGATAGATAGATAGACAGACAGACAGACAGACAGACAGACAGACCGACAGACCCGATCCGATCCAATCTGATCCAGGTGCTTTTATTTTAAAGGGAACATCTGTGGCCTTAAAAAGAAAAATGCAAACTGAGAGGTGCTAAAAGAAATAAAACCAAGGATGGGAGAAGAAAAAAACAAAATAAACAAACGGAGGGAGAGGGAAAAGGGCAGAAGAAAAGAAAGAATAAAAGAAAAAATTGAGCTATGTTTTAAAGAATATTACCTTCTTGAAGACCAGGATGTATCACCTGCTTGTGCCGCAAGGACTTCAAATCTTCTATCAATTCCTTTTCCAACTGAGAAATTCTTGCTCGGCAACCTATTCATAAAATAATGACAAAACAATACAATACAGAAGAATACATGTGGTGTATTCCACTACTGTAGTCTAAATCAGAAATATGTATCATGTAATACCTGGGTCATTTGTGGTTGATGCCTGAAGACTAGAGGGTTCTTCTGTTGTTCCATCAACTGCATGAATGTCTAGAGCTTCCTATATATTAAAAATATAACACAGATAATTATAATTCTAAACTTTTTAAGTAAAAGTTTTAAAAAGAAAAAGATTTTAAAAGGATTTTAAAAGAAAAAGACCAGGAGAAATATACCACCATGTTTACACTGACAACTCCCAATGCATGGAACAGGAACAATTGTTTTACTTTTCCTGTATTTTCTAAATGTTCTATATTAACATTACTTTAATATCAGGGGGCTGTAAATACAGTTCAGTGATAAGAGTCCTTGCCTAGCATGGTTGATGCACTGGGTTTGATCTCTAGGGCAGAAAGGAGTGAGGGGGAGAAAAAAAATGTGAATGTTATACTCAGTTAACCTCAAACTGTATTTATACCAATTTGCATACTGCTTTCTCAGAACCTATAAAGACCGCTTACTTGGCAGCTAAAAGGAAGTAAAGAACAGATAGAAAAAATTAAACATCTGTTTAGCCAACTTGGAAAGACTAGACTATTACAAAAGTCTAAAAAATAGCTATTTGGAGAGTAGGATAAATAGAAATTATCAAGGTATAAGACAACAGAGTTAGTAAGACTATTATTTGGTTTTACAATACTACTCTACTACTACCACTGACCAAGTGATGAGAATAGAGTATTCCAAAAGTCAGTTAACTTTTCATGTATTTCTATGCCTTTTGAAAGTTTATAATGACGAGAATTCCAGTAAGACCTAGTTTAAAAACAAAAGTAGTTTCACACACTGAGAAACATCACAAACTGAGATCTAAAAAGACACACTTTTTAAAAATCTATTCAAAGTACATGAAGTGATACCTATCAACAAAACCAAACATTAGAAAGACATCACTCATAACCGCCCCAAACATACCCTCACCAACTAATACATTCACAAAACTAGATCCTAGTTAATCATCAGCCTATATACAATTCAAAAATAACTAATTCGCCTTAGAAAGAATGCTGAAAATTACAATCTTACCTTTGATTCAAAGGAAACAAAGAGAACACCATCCACATCTTCCAAATCGGGCTTCACATCAGAAAAGGTACTCCCAAGGCCTACAGGGGTGTTCTTTGTAGAAGTTAAAGACTTCCCTGTGTTCTTAGGTGGTCGCCCTGCCTTAGAGAGCTTCAATTTTCGAGGCCTTCCTCTTTTTCCATGGACATTTGGAGAGACATTGTGGTTAGCACTCACAGTCTTTGAGGCTGTTGCAATCTTAAGCACAGTTGTTCGCTTTCTGCCCAAATCCTCTTTTCCTGAAAATGAGTCCCCAGCAGAACTCTTTGAACTGTCAAGTATTCTTTCTGAGCTAATGCTGTCAAATATATCAGGATATTTCCATTGAGGCTCTTTAAGTGAAGGGTATTTTTGCACCACTCTGAGATCGGGTGAATGTTTACTAAGACCATTTTCTGATTCCTTGCCTAAGCAGAAGCCAGTTCCATTGGCATTTTCAATGTCTGTAGGCAAATACTCTAATTCTGCCAACATAGATTTATCCTTTCGAGATGTGGAAAGCATGTTATCAGGCAATTCAGAAATCTTCACTGTGCTTTTGGTGACAGCACAAGGCTCCAAATAGACTACTGGCATCTTTCCAGCATCTAATTTGAACATCTTAGCTTTAGCAACACCTGATGGGCTGCTTGGTAGCCATTTAGAAGATGAATGATCAAACTCTGGGTTATCAATTTTATTGTGCCTCTTTAGCTGTTTCTCTAATATAGGATCATCATCACTGTTTGAGTATACATCCGTTTCTTCATCTGTCTCTTCCTGTTTCACGGTAACCCCTTCTGGATACTCGCCAAGTTCGTAGTCATAATCATCTAGAGGTTCCTCTTTAATGACAACATTGAAGTTTTCATTTGCATCTAATGAAGCAATATGAGAGCTGTCTTCAAAATTGCTGGCAACAAGACTGGAGAGATAAGAGAGGTTAAGAATAATACAAAAAATACAGACTATCCATGTAAACAAGACTGGAAGAAAAAAAAGTATTTTTGAAACTATGGGGAAAAAAAAAAGAAACTAAACAACATGTCAGATTTTATAAGCCACTCCTCAAAAACACTCAGCATAACCTAAAAAAGTTCTCAAAAGCAGTTTATCAACAATTTACATTCTTTTTAATTTTTCATTAAAAAAGAAGTAAAACTACTCTGGTTTCTCTTCAAATTGTATAAATCTTTCGCCTTTTAAAAAAGAAGTAAAATTTCTTATCATATAATCAAAATGCATGATATATAGTGCTCATTTACCTTTAAGTATTTTTCAAATGAACTCTAACACACCAACAACTGACAATAATGCAAAAACATGTCCATTACAACTAAGAATTACAATAAACTAAGATAGGGAATACAAACTGTCAACTAATTTTTCTCTTTTGTGCTTGAGATAAAATTCACGGAACTTGTAACATCTTAAACACATTAAAGTATGCATTATTTTTAAATACATTCATAATGTTGTTGCCAGATGATTTTTCAACTTTAAAATGGATTAACTGACTTTTCATGTAAAGAATTTGCCACTAATTCTTCTAAAATAAAAGGAAAGGAAGGTAGTTGAAGGAAAGTATATATAACCCACACAATATATAATTTTGTTTTAAAAACACGATACATTTTCCCCTTATCAACTTCTAATAGTGTACAATAGTTCATAGCAAAGCAACCCTAAATTTAGAAGTAAAAAAGTTACACTTCAAAGTTTTTTTACTGTTGCTTTTATTTTGTTTTGTTTGTAATACTGGAGATCAAACCCAAGGAGCTGCTGAGCAGTGTCGCCATGCCTAGAATCTCAGCACTTAGGAAGTTAAGGAAGAAGGATCACTGTGAGTTAGTTGAAGGCCAGTCTGGGGTACACAGTGAGTGCAAGGCCGGCCTGGACTACATAGCAAGACACTGTCTCAAAAAAACAAAACAAAACAAAACAAAAACCCACAACAAAACAACCCAAGGTGCTCTACTACTGAGCTGTATTACCCTACCCCTTTTTATTTTGAGACAGGTTTTTTGAGGATAACTCACAGTGATTCTCCTTCCTCAACCTCCTAAGTGCTGAGATTCTAGGCATGGCGAAACTATGCTCAGCAGCACCTTGGGTTTGATCTCCAGTATTACAAACAAAACAAAACAAAAGCAACAGTAAAAAAATTTTGAAGTGTAACTTTTTTACTTCTAAATTTAGGTTGCCTAGGGGACCAGCTAGGTCCCCTAGGCAGGATTTGAACTTCTGATCCTCCTTCCTCAGCCTCTAGCAATACTTGTATTACAAGTATGTGCCACTGTGCATGACCCAAAATGTTTTTAAAAATCCAACTGAAGATATCAAAAAGCCAGCAAGGCAGTAAAAAGTTAGAGATCAGAACACAAGGGTAAACTGATTAGGTACTAAATAATGTAGGCACTTTTACACCTATTACTTTCATTAATGTTTTCTTTCTAAAATAAAGAACTATATTCATGTTACTTCCCTATTAAGGTAATCAATGATCCAACCACACAAATCTTTACTTTTGTGTTAGTCCAATTTAACAATTTCCAATACCAATTGATCATTATTAATGTAGTATTAATTTTTTTAACTGCTTACTAACTCAAAGTCAATGTTTATATAAAACTTCATCTCCAGACAGGGATATAGCTCAGCAGCAAAAGCGCCTGCCTGCCAAGCGCAAGGTCCTGAGTTCGATCCCCAGTACCCAAAAAAAAAAAACCTTCATCTCAAATATAAACAAGCAACCATGAATGTGTTGTTACATATTCCTGAACAGTAAAGATTCATGTGGTTACATCACTGTTTACCGTAATAGGGAAGTAACATTAATACAGTTCTTTATTTTAGGAAGAAAACATTAATGAAGGTAATGGATATAAAAGTGCCTAGATTATTTAGTACCTACTCAGTTTACTCTTGTGTTCTTGATCTTATTCAAATATCCTTCGATGGAGGACTTCCACGTCTAGTTAGAATGTGAAAGAGCACAGAAAACCTTCACTTCTGCTACAATGAAAAAGAAGTAAGCAGTTTTCTTAAAAGACAGTGAAGAACTCTGGATGTAAATTAAATGAACTGAATTTTGGAGTGGGATCAGCCTTCTCTAGTTGACTAGAAACTGCTACTGCTTTTAACATTTTACAATGCCTAAAGACACACAGTGAAGTGAGAAAAAGTTATAGAAAAAGGTTCATCTTTGGAACACCTAGAAACCAGCCCAAGTCCCCAAGTTCCCCATTTCACCCTAAGTGAGGCTTGGGAGGCTCTGACCTACAGGTTCAGTCCTTTTTATTTCTAGGAAAGAATCCCACTCAATTGTCCAGGCTGGCCTCAAACTTGCAAGCCTCCTAAGCCTCCAGAGCGCTGGGATTAGATGTACACTATCAAGCCTGGTCTTGCCCAGCCAAACTTTTAATAACTGAGTAAGGGCAGACTAGAATCAGGAAGAGACCAAAAATAAAACTAGTCCCTACTATCATCCCATTATGCTCCAGAAGACTTCAGTAGAATAAGCAGCAGTGACGCAGAATGGTTGGCCTGAAAACACAAAATCTGTACTCCACCAGTGTTCAGATCCCAAAGTGTGACAAAAAGAAAAGCCCTTAACACCCATAATATAGCTAACTGAAATTTACTGAAGTGATAAATCACCTAGACTAAATAGAGAAAGGGCATAAAAAAGGGACACACGTTTGTAGCATAACAAATGATCTAACATACTAGAAGCTGCATTTCCCAAATGATAGCAAGTATCATTTCTCAAATGGGGGCTGGGGATATAGCTCGGGGTCATAGCGTCACCTGGCAAGCACAAGGTCCTGAGTTTGATTCTTACAAAAAAAAACAAAACCAAATGACAGAAAGTACAGAAATAGTTGAATGCCAAATAAAGAAAAATCTTTCAAAAGCGAAAGGAAGTTTTTTGGGCAGGGGATATAGCTCAGTGGCATAAGCACCTGCCTGGCAAGTGCAAGATCCTGAGTTCGAAATCCGGTACCAAAAAAAAAGAAAGATTTTTAACCCACATATACAAGAAGTTCAGCAAACAACACGAACAAAGTTAAGGAGAGCCCACTGTGGCACAGGGCTATAATCTCAGCACTAAGGAGGCTGATGTAGGAGGATTTTGAGTTCAAGGCCAGCCTGGGCTGCATAGCAAGACCCTGTCTTAAAAAAGCAAACAAGGCCAGGAATAGTGGCACATGCCTGTAATCCCAGCATTCAGGAAGCTAAAGCAGGAGGACTGCCATGAGTTCAAGACTAGTTTGGGCTACACAGTAAGTTCAAAACCAGCCTGGACTATACAGCCAGACCCCTTCTAAATAAATAAGTAAATAAATAAATAAGTAAAAATCTAGTCATACCTAAGCACACCAAGGTCAAGACGCTGAAAATTGAAGATGAAAGGGAAAAACCTGAAAAGCTGCAGAACAGAACAGAACAAAACAAAACCACAATGTTATACTGAAATAATAATGAGAATACACTTCCTATACTGATGCTATACTATGTTAAACCAAGCATGGTAGTACAAATCTATAATCCCAGCACTCTAGGAGGCTAAAGCAGGAAATGTAAATAGGTAATTTAGGGAGACTCTGTCTCAAAAACAGGGCTGGGGAAAAAAAAAAACAAAAAACAGGAATGGGAATGTAGGTCAGTCCAAAGAGCCGGGGTTCAATCATCAGTATCACACCAAAATAAATAAATGAAATTATGTTAAATTGGATGACAATGAAGTTTAACTATAAAACATAATTAAAGGAAAAAATCAAACTAAAGTAATAGTCTATTTCTAACACAAATGACCTTTAAAACTGAAGATACTACCAGGGGTTGTGCTGTCTGTCTGTAATCAAGTTACTTGGAAAGCTAAGGCAGGAGAGTAAGAAGTTCAAGATCAGCAGGCAATTAAACAAGAACTTGTCTCAAAATTTTAAAAAAGGGATGGAGATACAGCTTAGTGGTAGAGTATAGTGGGTTCAATCCTCAATTCTGGGGGAGGCACGAAGACAGAAGAGAGGAAAGGAGGGGGAAGAGAAGAGACTGAACACACTCAGAGAGCCCAAGAGAACTCAGACTGCCCAATAAATACTACCTCCTAAGATTAAAAATAAGAATGTCAGTTTTTACCATTTCTATTCAGCTATACTAGAACTTCTACCAGGAGTAGAAAAGAAAAATAAAAGGCACCCCAGACCAAAAAGAAGCAAAATGATACCTAGTCAAATAAGACATACTCTCATATATATAAATTACTGAAGAATCCATTAAAACACTATTAAAAGCCAGGCATGGAGGCACACGCCTGTAATCCCAGCACTCCAGAGGCTGAGGCAGGAGGATTGTTGCAAATTTGAGACCAGCCTCGGCTACAAAGTGAGCTCAAGGCCAGCCTGAACTGCATAGTGAGATCCAGTCTCAAAAAAATCAAAAGAACACTATTAGAACAAATGAACCTGGAAAGACTGCAGAATCCAAGGCCAACAGTTTTTAAAGCCAGGCAGATGGCACACACTGGTAATCCCTGCTTGAGGGTGAAGGATGACTGCTGGAGGCTCATAACTTCAAGGCTAACCAAGGCAATACATCAGGACACCACCTACCCTCAGCAAAGCAAGTGATGTCAAAAAAGAAATGAGCAAACAAATCCATGCCTAACACCAACAAGAATACAACCTAAATAAATGGATAAATATCACATTTAATATTGGAAAAATTGCAATTATCCTTAATCTATAGATTTGATTCAATCCCAACCAAAATCTTACCTCTGTGTATTACACAAATTGACAAGCTGACCCTAAGTTTTATACTGAAAATACAAGAAAACAGCCAAAAAGCCAAAACAATTTTGAAAATGAGGAATAAAGCTCTCCAAGATCTCAAAGATTTCAAAATTCACTGCAAAGTTAC